GATCTTTGGTGGAATCTTTTAATCTTTCTAATCTGTAAAACAGAATTGAAAGTATCTGCTGCCGAGGGTTTTTAAATTAAATGAGATGGAACTAGTAAAGACCGTATTCCACATGCTGGTGTCGTAGTCACGTGATAAATTTCCATTCCATTTTCTCTTTTGACTCCACGTGCAGCATTCTTTCCAGCGAGCTTGGGCTCCTTCCTGCCTCTGTTGGCCCCGCCCAAATCAGAGCCCTTCCTCTTGATTTTTACATGGGGTTTGCTGGCTACTCAGAATGGGCTGGGCAGCTCAGCTAAGGAGCTCCACTCCCTTTTCTGGCAACTTCTTTTGGTGCTTCCCCCGATGGCACAGGAAGGAAGCCGCCTTGGACAGTGGAGGTGGTGTGACTCCAGGGCCAGGGCTCTGCCGTTTCTAGTAGGTCAGTGCCGCAGGTGGGGACAGGTGGCCTAGAGCCTTGAGGTAAAGTAGTACAGCCCCATTCCCTAATATACAATCGAAGTTTTTTATATATTTATTTATAGCAAGGTTCCATTGTACATTCGGCTTTTATATTTCTACACTGTTTGTGGTATAAATTATTCATCTGTAACTCTTTTACTGCCAAGTTTAGAATTAAACATATTCAAGGTACTCTGCAGCAGTGCACACTAGATTCTCAGATCCCTGATGGAAATAAAAAAGAAAAGGCCACTGGTGCCGTCTCCTGGTCTTGCCTTACCTTTGTGATGGTCCCTATGCAGACCGACCAGTGAGTCTTCGCTGCAGTGTTCCTGGTGAACAGATCTCATTTAGGGTTGCTGATTACTTGATTAGGTCCATTGGCTGACGCTTAGAGTTTAAATGGGGAGTGACACAATCTACTTATCATCAGTGAGTGTTGCTGAAAGGAAGAAAGAATCCAAGTGAAGCTGTGGTCATTACTTTCTCTGACTCTTCTTTCTGAGGTCTTTTTCCAACTTCCCATCGCTGTTGATTGCCTTCGCTTCATCTTATCCCAAGCTACTTCCTCCTTCCAGTTTAGCAATGCTTGACGCTTAAACTGAAATATAGAAAAGAGATTTTTTTTAAAGTTCTAAATCTTTCCTTTTGCATTCTGTTGCCAACAGCAGAAACTTACTTGTTGGAAACGATCCCTTACCTTGTTCCTCGTGTGTCTGAGACTGACTAGGAAGCCTTCCGCGCAGGATTGCTGGTGATGGGGCAAAGAGAAGCACAGTCAGTTTGGTCTTGGGTGGCACAGAATTCTAATAGGTTATGCAGGAGACAGGAATGGGATGGGTGACTTCCTCATCTAAAATGTGGTTATTGATTCTGAAATATGTTATAATAACTAAGCCATAACTTAAATTTATTTTTATAAAATCACATATGAATGTAGGGTGAGACCAGCATCCTTGCCCTCCAGAGCTGCCCATTTATTTGCTCATTTATCTGTCCACCAGCTCACCCATTCATCCCTGACCCATCCATGCAGCATTTTCAATCTGCCATTTCTCAGGCTCTAGTATAGACTCTGAGAATGTTTTGATAGTATTGGATAGTTTGGAAAGACTGTAAGTAGCTGTTTTTGTATGATACTCAGATAAAGAAACAAATGCTATATAAATATTGCTGTGGTTTGGATAGACGCACAGAAAGGAGCAGAGAACTCAGAGCCCAAGGGAGTTTGTGAAGTTTTCCTACAGGAGGTGATACTTGACTGAATTTTGAAGGGTAAATTTTCCAGGTTGACAAAGGGCAAAAAGATATCCTAGATGGAGCAACATTTACCTCATTTATAGTTGCTTGTGTAAGGTAAATATCTGGCAGATGGTGAGTCGTTTGGTGTGACTGGAGAATAATAGTATCTGAAGACAGAACTGGAAAGACATATTGGATGAGATTTTGAGTGGCCCCAGGTTTGTCCTGGGCAATGTCCAGCAATGATCAGATGTGTATTTTAGTAGTTGGGTAGAGAATGGATTGGAGACAAGAAAGCGAGTTAGGAGACTGTTGGAGTAGTTCCATGAGAAGTGATGGCACAGATTCCTCCTGAGATTGAATAATTGACAGAATGTGGGGACTGGGTGGCTGTGGCTTGGGAGGGCGAGGGAAGAGTTAAGAATGCCTAGCGTGGGGTGACGGGGTACACCAGGTGTCCTTAACTACAACAAGAAAGCAGTTTGTGGGGCGAGATGATTCATGAAGATGTTATTCTGCATTCTAATCCAGGTACCCTTAGTTTTCGTGATTCTGAAGGGATTGGGGGCTGTTGATTTGAATGTTTGTGTGCTGCCAACTATGACTTGAAATGCCGGTGATATGTGCACGCAGACACCTTCCTCCATCTTCTTTCATTAGAGAACAAGCCGGCATCATCTCCTGCTGGTTCCCATTCTTCTTCCCCCTCCTCCGGATTCCTTCTACCCTCTCTGTACAAAAAAAGTCAAAGCAGCATTAACAAACTCCGATGTTCAAAAGGGTTTAGAAAAACAACGGGTTGTTGGAATATTTAGTTGTCCTCAATCAGCAAACAACTTCAAAAGAGGAGAGTAAGTTTATTTTTATAAAATCATGCTTTTTATTAATTGAAAAAAGACAGTTTGAGTCGACTTCTGTATTCCCCAGCATATGTTTCAGAGATAAAATACATTTTACGATGGAATCATTAGGTAAATTCATTTCATAATATGATGGTTTTTAACTCTCTCTTTAATCTTCAGAGTCCGGGCATAAAACTACAACCTACAATTCTATCATTTTCTCTATCTGGGTGTCAGCTCAGTGTGTGTTGCTGTTGACTTTGAGATGGTGGGATCGTCGGGTTTTTAGTTAAGCCCAGAGAATGGAATTCTGTGAATGATTATTATGAAGGCCCGGGGAGGAAACCTCTACTGCCCAGGACTTTTCGTAGTTATTATTAAGTGTTTCTTTATGCTCATGGAACTGGGCTAGCAGTATTAAATTAAGTGTTCTCATGAGCCTCATTATTTGCATTTTTTAATAGATTACCTATTCTGCCTGTAAAACAAGTTACAAAGGCCATGGAGTCACACACTGTGTTTTAAGCATGTTTTGTCATTGGTTTACACATGCAAGGACAACTGAAGTATCTGTTGTCACCACTGCACTCTCCTTTTACTTCAAGGGGGTAAGAACTATTAGTTGTTCACATATTTTAAACAAATGGCCTGAACCCAAAGGACAAGGCCACAGCCTTCCAGATTACAATAGTTTCTTCTCTTTTTCTTTTTTTTTCAAATTTTTTTAAGTTACATCAAAATTACTGATGCACACAGCCATCCCCAGTGGCCTGGTGGTTGGGTTCAGCATGCTCCACTTCGGCAGCCCGGGTTCCATTCCCGGGTACAGACCTACACTGCTCTGTTAGTGGTCATGCTTTGCTGATGTCCTGAATACTAAAAAATAGAGAAAGATTGGCACAGATGTAAGCTCAGAGTGAATCTTCCTCAGCAAAAAAAAAATTACTGATGCACATGTAATCCCATCCCATAATAATCAGAAGAGCAAAAAAAAAAAAAAGCAAAGATGCAGCACATTAGTAAGAACGTATCCTAGCATTAATAGTTACTTTTGCCTGTGAAAAAGCCATAGAAGGAATAACCCAGTAAAGACGTTCTACTTTCCCATCTGTTTTTTGCTCAGACCCTGTCCAGATCCAGGCTCAGTCCAAATCCAGGGCCTGAGAAGGGGAAGGAAAAGTTAATGATGGTGTCTGTCCCTTCCCAAGATGGTCCCCGAACCAGAGGAGATGTGAAGGGTGGAGCTGGGCCAGTCTGAACAGCACGATTTTAAGGTGCTCGTCAGTTGTTTACTTTGTCATTTATTTATTTCAGAACGGAGTCAGTGGCTGCCCCTCTCCTCTCCTTACTGGGACAATTTTGCTCTTAAAGAACTCCCACCCCCATGTTGATTGTTCCTTAACCAGCCTGAATTGTAGGAAAAGGTCCAGGAACCCCTGGAAGAGCCCGGGGAGGAAGAACTGGAGCCCCGGGGGGTGGGAGGTCGTTTCTGGTGGCCTCACCTTAGGCTGGGATAACCCCCATGCGCATGCGCCTGCGGGCACCCACACCCACACACACACCTTTGAGGACTATAAAAGAGAAGGCAAGTTTGGAAAGAGAGATTATTCCACTGCTTGTTCTACAAGTTCAGGACAAGAAACTCAATATGATTTGGTAAATGAAACAAAACCGACTCGATTTGAGTCTCATGTGTGCCAGTTAAGGGAAAGTTCCCAGAGAGAAGGGAACAGAACAGGGAAAAAGAATGAAGATAAGAAAGATACGGGCTGTGGGAGGAGAACACCACAGAGGAAGTCAGAGAGAAGTGTGAGTGTGTGTGTGCACCGATGGTGAGGGCAGCGCAGGCCAGAGGAGCCATCCCAGAGCGGCACAGCCTGAAGCAGAGAGCCGTGAGTGCGAGTGCATGCGCAGGCTTCTGTGGAGCGGCATCCGGCGGTCTGCTCTCCGGGGAAGTTGCTGCTAAGGGTGTTGCTGTAAACCATAAAACCGTCTGGCCTTTCTCTTACCTACAGCTGCAGATGGGGTGCATGTGTAGTGCTGAGCTTGCAAAGATGAAATTAAATGAAGTGCCTACCCTCTCTCGTGTGCCCCTTCATGAAATCCGTTGCCTTCTCTGTGACTGGCTTCTCGTCTCTAAAATGGGTACAACAATGTCGTCTTTACTTACCTGAAAATACAATTTTAGGTGGTAGATGTTAAAGCAAGGTAATGAAACTTTAAGATTTATAGGTACGAACTTCTAGTTGTAAGATAAATGAGTACTGGGGAGGTAATGTACAACACGATGACCATAGTCAACACTGCGCTGTGGTATATTTGAAAGTTTCTGAGTATTTCCTAAAAGTTCTCATCATAAGGAATAAAAACACATTTTTTCCATTTTTTTGTGTATGTGTGTCTATATGAGCTGATGGATGTTAACTAAACCTACTGTGATAATCATTTCACAGTATATATAAGTCGTCATTATTCTGTACACCTTAAACTAATACAGTACTGTATGTCAATTATATCTCAATAAAACTGAAAAGAAGATTTTTAAGTAACTGTAAGATATTATCCCTTTAGTGTTAAAAGTAACCAAAAAGGGGGGAAAATGTCATTAGGGCTCAAACTTTTCTCTTTTTAAGTATGTAAATATTTCCTTGTTCTTTGGTTCAACTTCTCAAAATATGGTAGTTGATCTGGAATCTTATGAGTTGACTTCCTCATTTAAAATCCGAAGACAACTGTTTACAGCATTCTGTGGACTCTGTAGTCCAACTCCCATGCTAAAAAAAAAAAGGACTGTACAGGGTCTTTCTTATTATGATACATTAATTTTCATTAAGGGAAATTAGGTAATGATGTATAGCTTTAAATAGTGAGATGCTATTGTTCTGATTTTATAATATGTAAGGCCTAAGGTTTCATTTTCTGGAGTTGGAGCACAGCACTGGTACCGCAGGCTGCTGTTAAGCGATATCATCTAATCTGGGAGTTTCTACCCTACGTTCCTCCAAGGGCTCCATGGACAGAAGTCAGGAAGTGGGGGGTTATTTTTATTTTCACTGTCCTCCAGCTAAAATGTAGCATTTCCTTCAATTATGAATGTAGGCATCAAACCAGCGCAATTGAAGCAACACCTGTGATTCCGTCACCAAGAGAAATCACAGACCTTTTTCACATCATACCGCAGTTTTTGTGTATCCTAGAATATCACTCGTGCTCGTCAGTGCTTGAGAAGCTGGCAGTGCTGGCCCTATCACTACTCCTCTTAATTCATATGTTACCTATATTATTATATCACAGTTCTTTAATATTTTGATAATTGTATTTCAAAACAATCAGCTTCCTTTATAATCCCATCTATTTTATTTTATGCACTTAAAAATGTGATTCTGAGAAGGGGTCCCTGGGTCCCCAGCACCATTCTCAGAGCCTCTCATAACTGCCATCCCTCCTCCTCTTCCTCCAAGCAACTCACCAGCCAACCGCAGGAAAACCTGCAATGTTGTTTCCTTTCTGTAAAGCCTGCCTCAAGGATGCAGGGTTGCAGAGCAGAAAGGACAGAGATTTTGAAATCAGACAGACTGGGTGAACAATGGGCCCCTCCCCTTTCTGGCTCTATTGATGTGAGCAAGTAATTTATTTATTTTAGCCCTAATGTTGTAATCAGTAAAACGTGGCAAATAGTACCTACCTCACAGGGTAGTTGTGAAGATCAAATAAGGTAACACTGTCTGGTATGGTTCTGGCACGTCCTAAGCATTCAGACATCATAGCTCTCATTACTGCCGTCACTGCTGTCCTCAGCGACGTTGACTGTCAGGTTGTTTTTCCCTCCTCACGTCCAGCTTGGTGACTATACCTGGATTCCCTACCATATCCAGGACTCTGACAGCCTAGGAAAACCTGGGAGGCTTGCTTTTTGTAGTAATACACATCTCTGGAATACCTTTGGCTCGTCCAGAGTAAATTCTCTTTGCTTTAGTCTATTTTTTTAAAATTTTCACGAAGCATCTTAATGTCCTTGCCTATAGTATTTTCTTCTGAATTGTGTTTTTGTGTTAGTTTCCTAGGGCTGCTGTAGCAAATTACCGCAAACTGGGTAGCTCAAAACATCATAGAGGCCTGAAGTCTGACCTCAGGTGTGGGCAGGGCCGCGCTCCCTCGAAGGCCCAGCGGACAGTCCGTCTGGCAGCCTCCAGCTCTGGTGGGGTGGGCAATCCTTGGGGCTCCTTGGCTTACAGACCCATCACTCTGATCTTTGCCTCTGTCCTCACATGACTTTCTTCCTTTTGTCTTTGTGTCCACAGTTCCCTCTTCTGGGGACACCAGCCATTGGATTAGGGCCCAGTTCAGCCAGTATCACTTCATCTCAACTCGATTACATTCAAACACCATATTTCAAAATAAGGTCACGTTCCCAGGCACTGGGGGTGAGGACTTCAGCGCATCTTTTAGGGGGAGACAGTTCCACCCACGGCACTTGGGGTGGACCCCAGTTGACCCTACACACTTACTTTAAACCAGGCTTCTGAATGGATGTATGTGACATTGCGCTTTTTTCCTCAGGTTAATTTTACTCTCACTGTGGTTTCAAAAAATGTTTTGAAGTATCTAACTGGAGGTGATGAGATCTGTCTTGGCTTTCTTACTTTTGAAAAATATAGAAAGGAATCTTGGAAGAAAAAATGTAGGACCCCAAAATGGGAAGGTACTTTATACTGAGAAGCAAGAGGTGAAAGGGCAGGCACTGCACTGACAAGAGTGTTTACAAAGTTTATGACTTGGGTGTGAAGTGGCCACTCGGGCTTAGAGAGCCCTGGGTGCATGCGAAGCTCAGGCTGCTGGATCCTGGATCGGGAGAAGAAGCTGGACCAGGCTGAGCTCCAGCGTGGCCACTCACACCCCTGATGACAGTGTTTCAGAGGCCAGAGAAAGTTCCAGAGAGCATGGACGTGGTCAGCTGCCTGTTCCTTCAGTGTGTCTGCGGGCCGCCACTGCCTGCAGCCGAGTCCAGGGTAGGTTACGCTCGTTGGAGAGTGTGGTGTTGGGGGCCCGGTGTCTGTAGTTCCAGGTATAATCGCAAACGCCGTTTCCTGGAATGAAGCTGGGTTGTGTTTTGAAAGTTTGTAAACTTTGCTGTAAGAAGATTCAGTTTGAGAATATGCATCCAAGGTCATAGTTGTTTTCCATGGAATGTAAGTCCCTCCGGCTAATCTTCACCGTTTGAACGGGAGCTTAAATCTTAGGGCTTTTACAAAGCCTGGCCCGCCCTCCCTCTGTACTGTTGCTAGGAGTAACAGGGACATTTCGACCTGACGTATTATTCTGAATTTTTGCAATTCCCAGAACATTCGGCAGCACTCAGAGGGGCTGCTCCCCCGCGCATCTCTCGGGTGGGGCCGTGTGAATACCGGAGTGGAGTCACCGCGGGCCCTGCGGCCGCCCGGGGAGCTGACGCGGAAGCCGGGCTCCAGCCCGCCCTCTCTGTGCCGGCGCCGGCTCCCGCCTCGCGCATGCCCGCTGCGCCCGGCCGCCATCGCTTCCCGGAGTGTGTTTGGGTCTTGGAAGGACTTGTTACTTGAACAACGAAGGCAACTGCTTGTTTTCCTAAACCCGTTTCCTTGTTTTCTTTTCGCCATGAGTGAGGAAAAGCAGGCTGCTGGTCGCATAAGTGCAGGAAAAAAACAAAAGCTGCACGTAGATTTGTGACCAGAGACTCCTTGCCTGTAATTCGGTTGGACTTCTGCTTCTCTGACACGTCGTTTGTGAGCCTTTTTATCACAGGGCGATGATATAAACGGGTTTATTCTCACTGTGTGCTTAAGTTGTCTGTGCCATTTGGTTTAAGAGACTATCCATAATAGTCTGTTTTTCATATGTAATACAAAAAATAATTTTTCCATGATTTCTATCATGATGGTGTCAGAGAGGAAGAACTTGGCCTCCACCTTCTTAGGTTAACTTTTTGGATACGTGTGAATTAAACTGACAAAAGACAGATTTTTATTCATGTAGGTGGGCGTTCACAGACAAATGTGACTGGAGGAAGTGGTTAGAGTGGGGGGCTTATATACCATCTTTATAGGGGAAGGAAAGGCGGAGAAGGGCACTTATGGAAAAACGAGTGACTTTTAGGGAAGATAAATGGCCTGTAGAAGAACAGACGGGAGACATGAGTTTTGTGACAATGTCTGCTCAGGTGACGGCTTTTCTGGGGTGGTCAGTCAGTCTTCCCTGGGTGGAAGGAAGAGAATCCTATCCCAGGGGAGGAGATTTATGATGACTGAGTTCTTTTGGGAGGCTCTGCTTTCAGGGAGAAAAGGGCATTCAGAAAAAAAACCCTATTCTTAAATGCCTTCAACTCAAAACAGTTTTTATGCCACAGTGGTGAATTCTGGACCCCTTCAGTCGTGCCTTGAATTAAAGATAGCATTCCAGGCAGTACAAGTTGGTAGACAGCAAGGTCAGTGGTGACGGCCAGAACCCCTTTTCTTTTTCTTTTTTGAGGAAGATTAGCCCTGAGCTAACTACTGCCAATCCTCCTCTTTTTGCTGAGGAAGACTGGCCCTGAGCTCACATCCGTGCCCATCTTCCTCTACTTTATATGTGGGACACCTACCACAGCATGGCTTTTGCCAAGCGGTGCCATGTCTGCACCCGGGATCCGAACCAGCGAACCCTGGGCCGCCGAGAAGCGGAACATGCAAACTTAACCGCTGCACCACCGGGCCAGCCCCAAGAACCCCTTTTCTTTTGAGCAGAGGTGACTTGGTATAGTGGGAAAATGTTGTGGTGTTATGGGAGCAGAAATTACGAGGCCCGCTTTTCAGTCTCTGCTGCTGCTAACTGGCTCTTTGGCCCAGGGCAAGTCACTTTCCTTCTCAAGGTCTCAGTTTTCGTGATTTGAAAAACAATGAGAGTAGAGTTTCTGTAAATCCCTTCCTGCTTCCTTTGCTCTTCATCAGATTTTTCATAGTATATGATCTTAGGGAAGCTTCAGGCACATCAGGTTGGAAATTATGGGTCTCAGTTGTCACTGATTGGCAAGAGGTGGGACTTGCTGGGCCTGTCCCCGTGGTGCGGCTGGGCTGCCCTGCGCTCACATGACTCGTCTGGTTATTGTAGTTCTCCTCCCTGTGCCCGCTTCTGTTTTTATTGTCCTTTTATTTTTAGATAGTCTGTGGGGATGGAGGAACTGAAGGCACCCAGGCCTGGCCCACAGGCAGGGACTGGTGCCTCCTGCAGACTTTGCTGAGCCCTCCTGCTCCCTCCCGTGGAGCCCTGACGCAGCCCTCCCCTGAGCCCAGACTTCCAGGGGTCTGCTGAGGGAGAGGTTATCTCCGGTTGGGGCATGGTTATCCTGTGGCGCTGCTTTTTAAGAGCAATAATTAACTGTGACTGATAAGGCCTATCTTACTTCCCATCGTTGCATTTCGTCCTCACAAGGACCCATTATTCCCCAGTGAACGGCTGGAGAACCAAGTCCACAGAATTTAAGTAGCTTGGGTGAGGTTACAAAGCTAGCCAGTGGCCCAGCCTGACTTCAGCAGAAGTCTGCCCATTTCCAAACTTCGTGGGTGTTTTTCTAGTACATTGCCTTGCCTCTGAGAAAGTTATTTGAAAAGTTAGAAAGTGTTGCCTAATTTAGCATCATAGACTCTCCAGCTGTGAGGTTGTCTAGCCTGAAATCTGAGATCCTGAAAGGTTAGTTGCGACTTGTCCGAGCTCACACAGCTGGTTAGTAGTCTGATCCCGTGCTCTCCCCATTGGAACTTAAGTTATTGCGTGTTAGAGCCGAACAGCCCAGACTTAATCCTCTTAAAGCACCTTCTATTTTAAAATATTATTGAAAGAAAATACCTTAGAGTAGCAACTATAGCATTACACATTAATTTCTTCTGCTGGCAGGCCTGCATTTCCTCTGCGCTATTGTGACACCTACCGTAATTAAAAAAGTTCTGTCTATTAACTCACATAGTGCTGATTTTCTTAATATCTTTTATCATAGCTCATCATTGGTCACCAAACATCACTATTTAAATTATGGTTTTAATTCAGCCTCCAATTAAAGATAGATTTGCTTATTTTAATCCACATTTCAATTATGTCTTTCTATTACACAAGTAACTTTTAAAATAAACAAGTAAATCAAGACAGGCTTGTGGCAGGACTGAGGAGGGTGGGAGAGAATGTATATTTGTTCTGTTTTAATACCTTCCTAGATATTGGCGCTCACCTAACTTGTTCACATTTGAAAAGGTTGTTACTGAGGAATCCTGGAGGCGGGGCTCATCACAGGAGGAAGAAAGGACAGAGGCTCAGAGGATCACCAGGAGGAGATGGGGTTCTGGGAGAAGGTCAAGGCCTCGACCGCTCTCTGACTATGGCCAGTTGGCCAGCCGAAGTTTGTCTATTCCTGAAGACTCAGTTGCTGTAGACCCCCAGAAAGAGGACATTGTGGACAGTGACCACCAGCCGAGCATGGCCTCCACGGACCCTGCAGACCACAACCCTGCTGTGGGCGGCCCCAAGGGAAGCCGGAGAAGACGCCCCATCTCTGTGATAGGTGGGGTCAGCTTCTATGGGAACAACCAGACAGAGGAAATCGAGAATCTTCTAGCCCAAGTAAGATCTGGTGTGCTTTTACTCAAGCAGAGCCCTCCAGCTTCCTGGCCTTTGTTCTCTGCTGCAAACTAAACTGAGACCTGCTTTCCTGTCTTCCCTCTGCCTCAGGGAGGACGGCATCTGCTCCAGCCTTTCTTTCTGACTTTGTCTGAAAACGTGCATGAACTAAAACTAACCATCTGACGTGTGGATGCTTCTTACTAATCTTCTGTCTTTCCTGGGATCTCAAGTAATACATCAGACTAGTTTGCTGTTTGTTCTAAATCATCTGAGATTTGAATTAGGGAAAGTAGCAGTGCGTATTTAGTGAGCCTCCTGAAAGAAGAAATTCTTGACAGAGAAGGTGTCATCCATTGTTAACATGTAAAGATAAGAAGAAAATAAAGAAGAAGTCAGTTTTCTTAGGAGATAAGGAAATAATTATTTTCTACCATTTTCTTACTCTCTTCATTGGAGTTGCAGCTTTGCACCTGCTGTGACAGTAGATTAACATCTAGATTATTCCCTTAGTGTATTTTGGAAATTCAACAAGTATTTATTACTTACCCAAAGAGCGCTTTGAAGTTACAAACGTTTAAATAAAGGCCTGTTCAGGAGGAGTTTATATGATTTGGCAAGACTAATACCCAGCCATGGTCAAGGGTTCACAGAACAGTGTGTGACTAAGTGCCCTATTGTCTTTTTTAAACTTGCTAGCTAACAGCATAAATAACCTGTACAATTCTCTTAAAGGAAAAATCCCTTATTGGCATTGGATGTTCTGTTTCCATTCTCCCTGTAGAGCCCAGCACTATGCCGTGTTTACAGGAAGCACTCAAAAACCTCTTGCTTAATTGAATTAACCTGAATTGAATTCTTAAGGTAAAAACAAATTAAGTTGAAGAATACCACGAACTTATTGTTGTGTTAAGATGCTCTACGTGCTAGGAAATAATTCTGAACTAAAGCAAGCTGTAATCTGTTTAAACTTGAAGCGCAGCATAGGGGCAACCTAAAGCCTTAGAAATTACTTCACTCCAGCGCATCAGAAAGGAGGGCAGGAACGTAACTTTCTGCACCGTAAGCTCCATTAGGGAACTGGGTGGAAAAATTCTCAGAGAACCTAAGGAAAGCAGGAACCAATGTGGCCCTGGATGCAGCTATAGGGACGGTTAATGTGGAAAATCAGAAGAGCACGTAGATGATTCTAAAGAGACCCAGGGAAATTTGTGGAAAACCAACTCTTCTTTAAACAAAGCTCAATGTTGTGTTAGTTTAGGTAAACAAGGCTTGTGTTCCACAAACACTTACCTAGTGTCTGCATGTGGAGGAGTAAAAGGAGGCTGGAGAACTGCCAGGCCGCAGTGTCACCTGGCCGTGGTCTGTGGCGCTGTCCTTGCTTCCTCCGGAGGCTGCTGCTGGGACCCGTCTCCTGGACCTCCTGACCCGGGCTCTGTGTGAGAAAGCCCCACTGCCTACATTTGCTTCTCCTCTTCTTAGATGCTCATTGGGATGTCGCTGACAAATAAGATGGAATGCAATGCTGGGCGATAAGAGCCATTGAGTTGATACTGGTTTTTTAAGATTTTAGAATAATTAATTGCAGTTGAGCCTCTCTGCAGCCTGAAGCTTCCGACCTGAGTTGGAGGAACCCTTTCACATCTGTGAGTAGCTTTGAGGTGCGAGCGCCAAGCTCCTCGCAGCTGTGTGTGTGTAGAGCTTGCAGGAGCTGCCACTTCCTGGCATCTTCTCACAGCCGTTTGCTTTCCTTTTGTAGCCGGCAGCCAGGCCGCCCGTGCCAGCTCACCAGGTGCCCCCCTACAAAGCAGTTTCGGCACGATTCCGGCCTTTCACGTTTTCCCAGAGCACCCCCATTGGGCTGGACCGCGTGGGACGCCGGCGGCAGATGAGAGCATCCAACAGTGAGTCTCACAGGCCCTCCCTGGGGGGGGTCCCCCCTTTCAGAAACTGGTGTGGAATCCTCCATTTGACTGTTCCAGTTAAGCCGAGGTGCCCAGTCGGTTGTGCGCCTTCCCGTCCGTCTTTGGCCGGGGCGTTGTTTGCCTGGTAGTGAGGAGGGCTCATCCCAGGAGCTGCTCTCGCAGGTGTGGGTCCATCAGCAACTGGCCGGGTGGGTGCCCTGCGTCATCACAGGACCCTAAGTTGAGAAGTTTGCTCCTCTCGCGGTGTCTGTACCTCAGTTTCTGTGGGGGGAGATCTGCCCAAGAATGGAGTCCCTGGGATTTGCCTTAACCTTTTCAAAGCTGTTTCTGGAGGTTTTAGATTCACCAAGTCTGTTTGGAACACCAAAGAAAAGCTTCTCTAATATGGTAGTTAATATGCAATCGTAGACTTACCCAATAAATGCTTGTGGATTTGAATTAACAACACATGTTTTGTGAATGATTTTTAAATTCCTAACATGGAAAATCTTCCCCTACACCAACATTCACATCACTGCCCATCAGCTGGTTGGGTAATGGCGTGGCCCGGCGTGCACTAGATGAGAATAATAAGAGCTAACGTTGACTGAGCACTTTCCCCATGGCAGACACTGTCCTGTGTGCTCTGATGTGTTACCTCATTTGATGTTCCTAACCTCATGCTGTGGGGGTACTGTGATTACCCTCATTTTACAGATAAGAAAGCCCAGGTGTAAACAGGTGAACTGCCCTTGAGTTACTTACCCAGGAAGTGACAGAAATAGGATTTGAATCTACATTCAGTCAAATAGAATTTTCAGTACCTAGGCCTATGTTTTTAACACTGAACTATACTGACTCTTTAAAGATTTGCAGCCGACTGTTAATGCTTATGGCTTCAGTTGCTGGGTTCACTGTCTTACTTTGAAAAATGAATATCATGTGGTGAGCAGGAGAGTGATGAACTGGGTGTTAGGAGGCCTGGGTTCTGACTCCAGCACTGCCGCCAACTCGAGGTATGGGCATGATGGTGGGGACAGAAGCCAGAAGAAGAGGTGAGATTTAAATAGGGTCATTTCAAGAGACCTGAAGAGGGCTGAGGGTGTCACTTAGAAGGAGAGAAGGAGGGGAAACAGGATGGGTTGGAGAAGTGAAACAGAGCAAGAAAGTGTGGCCTCACTGGTCAAGGGAGGTGTTCTAAAGATAGATGATGAAGACTGATGACCAAGAATGGTGACAAGGTCACTGATGGATTCTGACACAGAAATTGTTGAGGAGAATGTCCTGGGAGGGCCATGCAAAGTGGTAGGAGGTCAGAGAGTTGGTGAGTCGTGAGAAAATGTTATCATCCCTACTTGTGTTGACTTGGTTCTAACTCAAGTCACATATATCAGGAGGAATCAAGGTTAGACTCTTCCGTTAACCAGGGTGAAAAGGGAGAGAGAAATTAGATGGCAGCTAGATGTCAAGGAGATCTGAAACATCTTATGCCTTTGTCGTCCTCTCAGCTGAGCAGGCTGGACACCTTGGAATCATTGCACCCTCATCCTCGGAGTCACTAGGTACCGTCTGTTTATCCTCAGGCTCCTCTGCTTCTCAGGCTCCTTGACCCTTACTCTCATAGCTGTGCCCGGCCCCGCCTCATGTCCTCAGGCCAGGCTTTCCTACACTGTCTAGTCAGACTTACTGTTCATGTTCAACTCTTACTTTATTTCCTTGCAACCTTTCCCATCATCAGTGGAATAAAGTCCCAGTTCCTTGAACGAGTTTACAGGTTTTTCTGGAACCCTAAGCTAACTTTCCAAGTGTTTCTCTCAGTTCTCCTAACAGAGCGTACAGTTCCGTGTCCCTTCACAGCTCCAGGCTTTCACACTCCCTCTGCTTTACTTCACTTTGCTCCCTCTGCCTACAATTTCCTTCCTTCCCTTTACCATCTGTCAACATGCTTTCCACTCAGAATTCAAAACTCATACTCTTGCACACCCTTGTTGACAAAGTAAATTCATTGTCATCCTTCTGCAAAGTAGTGTAGCCACCGGTCTCATGTTCATTCTCTCTGATCAGTCATCAGCTTCTGGTGATGTATTCTGAGAAAGTTATCCAAAAGGAGGAAAAAAGCTTACACGCACAAGGTGTTCTTCACGACATTCTTTGTGATAGCACAGAAGCTGAAGCCGTGTAAATGTCTGGGTACGGTGGGCTGGCGGGTTGGAGTGTTATATGGGTGACAAGCTCAAAACAGTTCACAATATAATTAGGAAAACCACGTAGCAACATGAAAAGTGACTGCTGTAATTTTGAAGTGAGAAAAAAGTAGGAAATAAAATCATATGTGTACTGTATTGGTTTGCTAGGGCTGCTCTAATTAAGTACCACAAACTGGGTGAAGAGAAATTTCTCATCTCAGTTCTGGAGGCTGGAAGACAGTTGAAGGTGTTGGCGAGGTTGTTTACGTCTGCCGGCCTGTCTCCTAGCTTCTGGTGCTCAGGGCCCATGTGCCTTGTCATGTAGTTGTATTGCCCTTATCTCTGCCTTCATCTTCGCTTGATGTTCTCCATGTCCTGTTGAATTGGGCCCACCCTAATGATCTCATCTTAACTGGATCATCCACTGTGACCTTATTTCCAAATTCGTTCACTGGTACTGGAGGTTAGGATTTCAGCATCTTTTGGGGGCACACAATTCAACCAATAACATATACCATGATTGCAACCATATACAACGTGTATACATATGGTCAAAAATTTATTTAACAAGAATATGCAAAAATGAAGATAGTGTAGTTAGGGTGGTAGGAATGTAGATGATTTCTCTTCCAACCCTATACAGATACAAGCAGCTTATTTCTGTGCTTTCTGTAACAGTGTTTTGTTTTGTTTCAATTTTAGTCTCTTGTTGAGAAGCAACAAAAACTAACTGTGACTAGCTTAAGTAAAAAGAATTTATTGGAAGGGCATCAAGTGTTCCCCAAATTGTTGGAATGGCTAGGAAACCAGTCTAGGAGATGGACGGCAGTCAGGGTTGGCCCTGGGAGCCAAGGAACTACATGGAAGGAGCCAAGGAAGGCAGGTAGCAGGAAGACTGGCCATAGTGCCACCTGGGGAATGAGTGAAGGCCAGCCAATCCTCTGGGCCTTCTGTCACTCACTCAAAAGCACAGTCTCAGGATAGGGGATTCTGGAAGCTTAGGTGATGCAGCCACCACCCGGTGGCACTGGGAGAAGGAGAAGGACTGGCTGCCTCCAGGGGCTACCTGCCTTCCGTTTTAGGAGGCAGGTGCATGGATTCCCCGTCCACTAAGGCTGAACACTGTGGAGGGGAGCTCATTCCCCAAAGGAGATCCAGGTGGTGTTAGAAATAGATTCTCGACAGGTCCAACATTTGTTTATTCATTCATTCATACTTTCAGTAACTATTGACAGCGTACCTCAGTAGTTCCAGGTGACAGCAGTGAACACAACAAAGCCCCTTGAATCTCTACCAGTCTACTGAGGGGATAATAAATTAACAAGTATCTGTATAACATGGGAGGTAGTACTATAAAGAAAAAGAAAAGCAGAGTAGAGGGCATTCGTTTTTAAAAGAACATCATTCTAACCTGATACAGCTATTCCGTATATAATTGAAAGCCCTGTCTGTCTCCAGAGGGAGATAGCCCAAAGGCCTATCAAGTACTGCAAATATCTCCAAGTCTAGGACCTCTGAGTAATACTCATCCCATCTCCAGTTCTGTTGCAATGCCTTTTCAATTTTTATAACCACAAGTAAATTTAAGCAACACACCCTTATCATAATGGAAAGAGAGAGGGGAGAAAAGGAAATAGAAAATAAGTGAAAATTAGGTATCCATACATGACACCACAAAAGGAAATGTCTCTCTTCTGTGTCTGGTTGCAAGGCCATCCGTGCTATTTTTGCCTTTGCTCATCTGGTTCCCACTGCATGCTCCCCTTGCCTCTGCGCAGAACCTTACCTGGTAGTGTACTTTGCCAGCTGAGGTGTCCAGACCTTCACTCTGTAGGCTTCTGGGCTGTTGGTGGTACTGCTTGCTTAGAGTTGCCATGGTCTCCTTTAGTTCCCTCTCAGTCAAAAATCAGTCAATCTACAAAAATGTGTGGAGCATCAGCTATGAGACCGGCACTATTTTACCATTTGGAATACAGCAGATAATGAAGCGTCACAAAATGTTCACGTTCTAGCATTTGAACAGACTCAATAAGTCAGTAAACAGGATTATCTCAGGCAGTAATGGTTGCTCCAGAGAAGATGAGCGTGGATCATGTGATGGGGAGTGAGTAGGAGCGGGAGTGGTGGAGGGCAACCTGTCTCCCTAAAGAGGTGCCATTGAGCGAAGGCTTGAAAGATGAGCAGGAGGGAGGGGGGTGCCAGCGGAAGGAACATCAGATCCCCAAAGTTAGGCAGAAGCTTGATGTGTCTGAGGTTCAGCGAGGAGGCCAGAGTGACTGGCGCTCAGGAAACAAGAGTCCAGGACACTAGGTCTCAAGAAGGAGTTGGGGTTATTTTCAGCGTAGCGGGGAGCCATTGCCAGCAGAGGAATGATATGCCCGACTCATGCTTCAGAGAGCAAGGACAGTTTGGGAGAGCAAAGGCAGAGGAAGGGAGACGAATTTGAAGGTTATTGCATTCGTCCAGTTGAGAATCGATGGTGACAGTGACCAAAAAGACGTCCATGTCTTCCTTGGGTGCTCATTTTCCCAGTGCACGAGGAGGCCAAAATGGCCAGTTTTAGTTCTAACTCCGTGGGGCCAAGGCTGTGAATTCCTGTGGAAGTACTCTTCTTTTGAGGGGATAAATTCAGTTTTGACAGAGCAGAGCTACTGGATGGGAAGAGAATATTTTGCAAATGTATTATTAAGTAATCATAAGAAGCAGCCCCTGTGTTTACCCTTTGTTTCCAGACCCATACATTCTGGCTATGGGTGGACATCATTATGTCAGTCACTGAGTTACATGCTCCATCCAGGACAGCACTGCAACTTC